GTGGCACAGTCCTGTAGTCCTACCACCCTGGGCAACTTAGTGACTTAGGAAGATCCTGTCTCAAAATTTAAAAAAAAAACAGTTGGAGAGGTAGCACAGGATGAAAGCCTTGGGCTGAATTCCCCAGTACTGCAAGAAAAAAAAGTAAAAGTATGATAAAATATTTTAAGAGAGAAGAAGACAGACAAAAACCACATTCACGTAGCTGTTATCACAGTATACCATTATAAATGTTTTTATCTCTTTATTAGTTATTGTTGTTCATCTCTTACCATGCTTAGCTTATAAATTGGCCTTTACCATAGGTATGTACATATGTATAGGAAAGACGCTACATATAGGATTTGGTACTATCTGTAGTTTCAGGCATCTATGGTAGGGGCAGGTGTTGTCTCAGAACATATTTCCCACTGAGAGGGGAGGACTATACTATACTACTATTCAAAGAATTCTTTATCAAATATTTATACTAGCACAATAAAATAATTATTTCCGTCTTTAAATTGGGATTTGGTGATTTTGTGTAGAAATATTCTTTCCTAAAGTACAAAAATTTGTGCTGCTTACCCAATTCTCAGTATGTGCTGAATGTTGGGGAGATAGGCAAAAGCAGCAAATCTTAATAGCATATCAAAAGCATAGAACAAGCTGAGGGTTTTTTTTTTTTTAAGAAATCTTTATTTTTTTTGACAAAGCCTCACTATCTCATGTAATCTCAGCTCCAATTCCTGAGCTCAAGCAATCCTGCTTCAGCCTCCTTAGTAGCAGAGACAAGACATGCACCACCATATCCTACTAATATCTTATTCTAATCTGACCATTCTGGTCAGTTAGTCTGAGCAGTGTTATTATAAATATTTAAGTTATTCTTTAGATGATGAAGGGGAAGCTTTTTTATTTAAACTCCATTCATAAAATTTGTCAACAACTATGTTTTTGGTGCACAACAGAAACCTATATTCCACTTTGGACTGTTGCTTGGTAAGACATTACACAGGTTCTTCAAAAAGTGGTTATCCTAATCTGAGACAAAAAGAAACATACCCAAGGTACTGGTGTCTTTAGAAATAGAAGTATACTGACATGTGACACTATTATTATGAATATAGAGCGCATTATTAGAAACCCATAAAAGAAAAATTTTGTAGTAATGAGACAAAACAGAAAGAGATCATATGTATTGGTATACTAAATCATAGTATATAATGCAAGTCACTTAGGTCAGCTGTCTGAACTAGACCCCACTTCTCCTGAAAGGTTAGAAAGGATGAACTTGTGGATCAAAAGTTTTCTTGGTAAGACTTGGTTAGAGGATGAGAAAGAAAAAGGAGCCTTTAGAAGTGTCCAGTTAGTATGCACTTACGAGCAGTTACTGTCCCAACTATATCTAGGGCATTAGGAAAATAAAATCCCCAAAGGGACCAGGTGGAGTACTAGTAAATATCCATGCAGTATGGGGAGGAAATGAGCCCTCAGAGAGCATTATGGAGGACTTTGAGTTGCCAAAGGGAATCTGGGAAACCTGAGACATTGGTCACCCTTAGAAACAAACTTGGGACTACTTCACCATATACTCCAGGTTCAGAGCAGAAGGTCAGGTCTTAAAATCTACTAAATAATGATTGGAAGAAGGATGCACCCTTCTAGCATTGTAGGCGTTAAACCCACCAAACTATATTTGTAATCTCCAATGCCACTCCATTCTCTCACTGCAGACAGCTTACAAGTGCAATGTCCTCCACATTGTCCCTACACCCTGCCCAATTTTGTCACTAGAGCAGCAGCATCAAATTTGCTCTGTCAGTGGCCTCATGCAAACACAGGCTAAGCAGTATTAAGTGACTTGGGCTCTAAGTGACTTCTAAGTCCAACTCAGGCCAGCACAGAAGACAGGAACACTTACTACCTCACCTACCGAAAAGTGCAGATGTCACAAGAGCTCAGTCTTGCCATCACCACAATTCTCTGGGTTGTTTCATCTTCCTCTAAATGTTGGGCTCACTAAGTCGGTAGGATAGCTTCTGCCTTCATATCCAGGAAAGAAAACATCAAGAGAGAACAAGTGATTTCCCTTCTTCCACTCTCTTTTAGGAAGAGGGCAACATCTTCCAGAAGATTCCCAGCTCAGATGCCCTTGAGTCTCCACCATACTTGGGTTACATCCCCATTTATTCACTCAATAAAAAGGTGGGATTATCTTGATGGCTTAACCTGTGCAAATTAAAACAAGGCTAAGATTCCATCTTACTCCAGAAAGAATGGCAATCATCAAGAAACAAAAAACCAATAAATGCTGGCGTGGCTGTGGTGAAGAAGAAACACTCCTACGGGGTTGGTGGAAATAGAAACTAGTACAACCATTATGGAAATTAGAATGGAGATTTCTCAAAGAACTAAAATTAGAAATTCCAGATGACTTAGTTATCCCCCTTCTAGGTACCTTCTCCAAAGAGCTTAAGACATCATACTACAGGGATACAGACATACAAATGTTTATAGCAGCATAATTCATAATAGCCAAATCCAGGAAACAGCCTGTATACCCATCAGCAGATGATTGGGTAAAGATACTGTGGTATCTATATATAATAGAATATTACTCAGCTATAAAGAAGGACAAATTTAAGACATTTTTAGGAAAAGGGATGGACCTAGAAAAATAATGCTGAGTGAAATAAATCAGACATGCAAACTTAAATGCTGCATGGTAACTCTCATCTGAGTATGGCAGAGTACAGTCTAAGAGAAAAATAAAGGAAGGATAGAAGTAGGGATAGGCCTCTTGCAGATAGGAAAGAGTGAGTGCTGAGGGGGAGGAGATGGGGAAGTAGGTAGAGTGAAGGTATGTCAGCTACAAGGTCCTAATAACCTCAATGAATGTGGACATTACATGCCATAAATCTGAACTAAGATTTACAATATCAACAAGAATGTAAAAGGGAGAAAAGAGAGCTGGAGGAGAAGGGAGGAAGGGAGAGGGAAGGTGATTAAAAAAAAGAAATAAGTTATATTGCGTACACATACCAACTCCCTAAGGTGATTGTAAAATGTACATACTACAAACATGTACTAATAAAATAAAATTTAAAAATAAATAAAACACAAAGACAAAAAATTGAAAGGAAACAAAAAATTTTAAAAAAGAATAAAATAGTTGATAAAGAATGTAGTCCCTTCCCTTGTATATAATGTATTTGCAGGTCAACTGTGTGAAAATTCAATGAATGATTGGAAGTCAGGCGATATCTACTCCCAGAAAGCCAAAATATGCTGCAAAAACCCTAATTCCATGTCCCTCTTTAGACACAACGCCAACACTTGTACCTGTTCTTTCCTTCAGAGCTAAACATTGCTCAGCACCACAAGGAGCACACACTAAAAACAAAGATGAGCCAACTGTGCCATGCCCGATGAGTCCCATGGTTTGTAATCAGAGGTCCTATGCTGTGACCCAGGAAAATTTTAAGCAGAATGTACATGTATGCCCTTGAGGGATGCATGCACCTTCCATTCTAGTTGGTAGTTGCCTCGACCTTGGAGGTATTTGTTCTCCTAGAAATTACCTCAAGCTTATGAGATTCATGCTTTTACTTAATATAGAAGCAGTAACACTTTCCATTTTCCAATCATTTGGTTAAAAAGAAGCCCAAAGTGCAATGAAATACTGAAATATTTTCAGAAGTATGGGTGTTTAAAGATTTGGTGTGATTGTGAACTTCCGCATGAAGGCAGATTACAGTTAGAATTTTTTTCAATCAGTTGGTGTTGAAAGGTATAAATTCAAAATGCAAACACGGAGTTATTGAAAAATTACATCACTAAAAGTTGAAAATAACCTCCTGACTAGGTAACCATAAAGATGGTTAGGGTTTGAATTGTAGTTGAGTTTTACTTTTTTGCTTGGAAAGAGTTTGGAGCTCCACACTTAGGCCTGTACTATGACAGAGGGGATGAGAGAGTACTTCCTCCTAAGTCCTATCACTGAAGAGAAGCTTCAAAGACTATATTTTGTGACCTTGAGGCTTGTTCCATGCAGTTGGGGACCTGGTGGCCTCATGCCAATGCTTCATAAAGAAGCTAACTTCATGAGTAGCAACTAGGCACAACAAGCCCCTTGGCCTCTGACTGCAGGACAAAGATGTGTGTGTCCTGGGGAGTGGGTGTTGGGGCCACTGTAGGAATGCTGATCTTTGAAACTACAAGGGGTTCTGCTCCAGGGTATAGTTTGCCAATGTTCAGAGATCCTAAGTTGCAAGTTGCATTGAAATGAAGCTAAGCTGAGGTCAGGAGTGACCAGTGAACAGGAGCTGGTGTTGAAGAGCCCTAGCAAGGAAGCTTCTGAATAGTCCATAAAGAAAAAAGTCACTTTGGAAGATCTGCTAGTACTGGAAATACAAAGCACAAATAGCCATGTTTCCTTTGCCTGTTTTCTACCTCCATACCACCTCATCCCATACGAAACCTGGAGGACGCTGGGTACAGGCAAACTAGGCAACCACTCTGCCCTAGTTAATAAAGAGCACAAACTACCTGCAATCAGCCCTAGCTGTGAATGGGAGGCCCTGTGTATCCCATTTGTGAATAAAGAGGGACAGTTGATTAATTTACCCCCATTTATGAATGGGACTACAACTATGACTACATGGACTACAGGATTTTTGTGTTACCTAAGAGAAGAGTCAATGATACTGTCCAAGTTTTCTTCCAGGATCCAGGGAAGAAATAGTCTCTACTGAACAGTTTGCCAGGACATGGGAGACAGTTATAAAATTGCACATTAAGAGGATCTCAGAGATTGTCCTTGCTCAAGATCCCAGATATACATTTATTTGATATAGAGACCCCAGCTACATATGTACCAGATATGCAGGTCATATATAAGTTTCTTATCTATTTAAATGTAAGTATAAAATAATAACACTTCTAAATATTAATGTTGTTTAAAAACATGAAATTAAGATAATTTAATTTATTAATTTAAAGGTAAAATATACTATTACCTTGTTATGGTGAAGCCATAAGTATTTTAATTTTCTAAACCTAGAAAGATCAATGACTTCTGTCAGTTCCCTGGAAAGAAAAAAAATTGAACATTAGCAATGATTAATTCACTCATGAGCAAGCTGTTTATACAGGTAGATGGCTTGGAAGTAACTAGAAAGACCTTTCTGTCTTCAAAATTGTTGGCACACTGCCTGCTAGTTTCTGAAATTTGTCATTATAACTCTGTTCATTTGGATGGAGATTTCATCAGATAGTTAATGCTAATACATACTTAGAGGAGAGCATGTTATCACATTAGCAGAAATTCACATTTCATAATGACCAAACTTACTGCAACCTCATTTCAAAACAGATTTTACTGGGGAGAGGGCAGAAGGAAAAAAGAAAGTGAAGAAGATATTGGATTTTCATGTGAATGTAGAAAAACACAATTGGGTCTTGCTTCAATATTTTCTGTAGGGTTTTTACTTTGGAGTCAGTCCTGATCTTGACTACATTGGATTGAGGAGATGAAAACTGCAGGACACCAGGAGACAGAGACTGAGTAGAGTGCTTTCTTGTGTCTCAGCTGTAGAGTCTGTGTATTCAGCGCTTGCTGGACTGTGTGGGATTCTTGCTGTTCTGCCTGTGGCCTGGTCTTTGATTGGTATGGCTCACACACAAAGGGGCAGGGGCAGGGTGCTTGGAGGGGCTGTCAGCAAGAAGGGCAAGGCCTCTGAGGAGAGGTGGCCGTCTGACTGATGTGGCTTAGAGTTTTCAGATCTCTCACTTCTCAGAGCAGTATTGTGAGTCCCCAGGACTTACACATACATTTTTCTTTTATTTATAACATACAGCACATACTGTGACTTCCTCTTACAATTACTTGTAACCTTGGGACTCTGAGAGACAAAAATTTTTCAAATTTTTATGATAAAATACATGTTTTAAAACAGGCAAACAATATTTCTGAGCAACATAAACTTTTCTAACCAATTTTTACATTGACAGATTTCAAACCTAAGAAAAGCTGAAGGAATGAACATTATAAGGACCTTCATAATTTTTAATATATTGCCATAATTTTCTTATTCTACTTGTGTCATAGATTTGATAGCTAATATATATATTTAGGTTGATAATTTTTTTTGTGAGCCATTTAAAAATAACCTGCAGGCTTATTACTGCAGGCGTGTCACTTCTGAATAATTCAGTATGCATATCCTACAAGTCAGGATATTCTTCTGCAAAGTTACAATACTTTTATCACATCTAAGAAGATAAAGTTGAATTCCATAGTGTTATCTAAATTATCATTCATATTCACATTTCCCCACTGACCCTACATTTCTTTTATAGTTTGTTATCAGCATTTACACCTTGCATTCAATTTACACAATCTTTCCGTCTTTTACAATTTCATCACCTTTCTTTTGTTTCCCATTGATGTTGATTTCTTCAAGAGCCCAAAAGAGTTGTCTAAAAGAATGTCCGGTGTTCTTGATTAGTCTCATAGTTCCCTAACAATTAAATTAAAGATAAATCACTTCTTGGGGCCGGGGATTTAGCTCAGTGGTTTCGCCACCTGCTGCACAAGCACAAGGACCCGAGTTCAATCCCTGGTACCAAAAAAAAGATAAATCACTTCTCAATTGCAATGGTGGTGATTATGGCACATAGCAGATGTCAGTTTTGCTCACTCTATGGGAAACCAAGTTCAGTCATTAGGTTAAGGCAATATCTGCCAGGTCTCTTTATTATAAAAGTACGAATTTTATAATTGCAAAGTAAAATGTGGAGCTGAACTCTGACTCCACATGTAGATCGCGTTCCTCCAAAGCTATTTACTCAATGGGGTTAGCTTCAATTGATGATTCCTACCTGAAGCAACAGATTTGGGATCATAAAGTGAAGATTTTTATCATTTTCTCATTCTTTGTACATGTATTAATGAATATCCTTCTGAAAAGAGTACCTGCCCATTTCTTTTCTTTCTGTCACTCTTTCTTTTCCTATCCTCTCTGGATTTACAGAGATTTTTCTTAATTCTTATCAATTTAAAAAAAAATTCTCAAATTACTCAAGCTGAGGACTTTTGAAGGAAACTCCTGTGTCTTTTTGACATGCAGCATTAGTCTTTGTGATCTTCCCTAGCACAACAAAATATTGCACACTCCTCTAAAGCAATTTTCAGTTAGAAATTTACACACTTAATATGTCCTCTTTCACTGAGGGTCTCCAATCTATTTCTGGGAAAGAGTACTTGCACCTTAGTGCACTTTATCTCTTGCACTGGGCATTAATGGTCGCACATTAACATCACCTCTTACTTCGATGATATAATAAAGCAGTCATTATATGGCAGCATCAAAGGATCTCAAGAGGAACTTAAAGGATTTCTCACAAAATTTATTTTAATACATTAATGCTTCAAAATGTTAGTTGTGGTAAGATGTTATTAATTTTCTTGTAGTAGCAATATCAGTGCTGAATTTTCAACTCTTAGATAATATATGATTCACTTTTTTGAGGGAACATTAACTCTTTTGAATTGGAAAGGTTTGTTTCCCTCATAAAAAGCCTGTCCTAAATCAGTTAGGAGCGAATATATTTTAAGGTGAAACCAATGAAAGACAATGACAGTAATGCTACTACTAATGATGGCAGTGATTAGTGCTGACACTCATTACAGTGTATGCTTTTCATGATTACTCATGGAGATACTGATAAAACGTTTTTCATTTTCCAACAGAGATTTCAGCAAATAGCCATTTCACCTTGTTTATTGGCCTCTGCAATGTGAAATATTTCCCCCAGCTAAATTAAATGATAATTTAGTATTCTAAGGCTATAAAAGGTATTGTCCATCATGTAAAAGCATTAAATATTTATGATCAGAGGATCAATATTATTTGTTGTAAATTTTTCTAGTGTTTTAAAACTATTCTATTTACTCTAGTGATCAATAAATAGTGTATAATTGTCAAAATGGCAATATGCTTAGATATGAAACCTATTGAGCATATAAAATATTTATGATTACTGTAAAATTGATCTATGGAAAGGCTCAAATCATGACCTTAAGTATTATATCTGTTCCATTCTACAATATGTACGTGTTTAAAATTTCAAATTAGTTATTTCTTTATTCCCTTACTGCCAAGAGATTCAGGGCTGCAACAAAGATAAACATTTTTTCTGTGCTATTACATTAAGAATAAATATTTAATTATAACAAAATAAATATATTTATTAATAAAGAATTTACCTGAATCACTAGAGATAAAATTGAGTAAGCTCATTGATAAACTAGGACATTTTCTTTATGAAGAAGCTGAGTTTCAAAGATTACATATGAGTAAAAATATGACAAACCTATTTTAAAATAATACATAGAGTTCACAATCAGTGAAGAACATGAAGGAGGAAAATGAGTAGAAACAGAGTCTAAGTCTAAGTCTTAGAGTCTAAGTGTGTGATGGTTAAATGGAGATGTCAACTTGATTGACGTGGGAGGTACCCAGGGGATTAATAAGCACACTTCTGCGTGTGTCTGGGTCACGGGAGGGTGTCTTTTGAGTCTATATTTGGTCCCTGGCTCCTTCCTCTCTGCCACTGTTCTTGGCTGCCATGAACTTCGCTCCACCATACCCTTCTGCCATGATGGTCCTGCCTTGGAACAGCTGGTAATGGACCAAATCCTTGAAACTGTGAGCAGATTAAACTGCTCTAAATTGTGAGTATTGGGTATTTTATCTCATTGCCAGAAAAGCTGACTAATACATGTTACTATAACAGCACACCTGAGAATGAATAATTTATAGAGAATGGAATTTGTGTCTTACAATTCCGGAGGTTGGGCAGTTAGAGATCAGAAGGCCCACATCTGGCAAAGGTCTTCTTACTGTATCATAATATAGTGGGGTGCAAACTCATTCTTTCACCAGGGATGCACTCCTGAGATAACTATACCTCCTCTTCTTATTATAGCTAGGTACTACCTCAGGCACTGGGACTGTTCCACAGAAAAACTCACTTTGTCATCTGCCATTTTGGGGAGTTTGTGTGGGACCAAATGGGGCTGTTGATATAGGAAAGAATTTTCCTGTTTATTGGAAAGATTAATATAGGGGTTGTTCAGGATTATAGCTTAATAAGGGTTATTATTATATAGGAGTATAATGGAACATAATTCCTAACAATAATAAACATTAACTGTATTAATGATAACTGAGTGCTCACTGTATACCAAGACCTCTTCTAAATTTCACTAACTCACTTAATCTTCACACAATCCTGTGACTAAGGTAATATTATACACAGGAAATTGAATTGCATGATAAATTATAGGGTAACAGGGTTGCATTTGAATTTCAGAGAAACAAGAAATTTTCCAAATAATGTGTGGAACAGACTCACACTAAAGAAATTATATTTATTGTTTCTCTAAAATTCAGCTTTAACTGGGCATTCTATATTTTTCATTTGCTAAAAGTGACAATCCTAACAGAGAGGCTATATATAATATCTCAAGATTATCCAGCTGGAAAAGATAAATCTGAGATTCAAACTCAGCCTGGCTCATTAGTCTTTGTTGTTTTGGGTTTTTTTTGGTACCAGGAATCGAACTTGGAACCTTGCGCTTGCGAGGCAGGTGGCGGAACCACTGAGCTAAATCCCCGGCCCCAGTCTTTGTTTTTATCCATTTCAATATCCTACTTTTCTCATAGAAACAGTGGATCCCCCCCAAAATAGTAAAGTAACTGGAGTGAGGTTGTCTACCCAGTCCTTGAGGTGTGGGAGGAAATGGAAAAGAACATTTGAATCTATTGGAGATTATAACATGATACTTTTTTAAAAAACATAAAGCACATTTACTTTTGAGAGAGGAACAGCTCAAAGACATCAGCATCTCTCTTATGGCCACGTATCTTTAGCTGATCTTCAATTGCCTGATAACATATAATTAATCTGCCAAACCACATTCCGATGAATGAAAATACTGAGAACTTTGCAGTCAATAACAATACGTCTGTGAGCAGATCAAAAGAAAGGTGAATTTGAAAGCAACCACTCTAGAATGATAA